GCAACTCTGGCAGGGACAGAGCTGAAGGTTGAGAAGGCAAAGAGCAAGAAACAAGAACCAAAGAGCCCAGGCCAGAACTTTGGAAACGACAGTAAGACGGCTGGTCCCTTAGATAATTTCTCCCATTGACATTAAGAATCCTGTCCATATATAGTGACCACCTGTCCACATAGGTCAGAGTTTATTTGTCCCATGAGAGGTCTTGACCATAATCTGATTGTTTCTTTATTCTGTAGTACAAACTACAAACAATATACTATTATGTAGGGATTTTCTTGTACACAATCAGTGTTGTCTCTAGCCTTGCTTACATTTGGTGTCTGTCAGACACCTTCCTCAGAGCTTTTGACTGGAGTTCTGCTTCTCGCATGAAATGTAAGCAAAGTAAGAGACAATCTTGGTTGTGTACAATAAAATCCCTGTATCCTAGGCCTTACCAACCTGGTGAAACTATTTTCGAAACTACAAGGAAGTAAACTCTACATACAGTACCGTTCGCGTTATAGTTAACCGGGTACCCCGTTACTAACGAGTTATTTTTTCGTCAGAAAATGGTTAGAAAATCGTCAGTATTTGGTTAGATTTTCGTCAGAAAATGGTTAGAAAATCGTCAGAAATTATTTCTAACGCGTTACCATTTGCGTTAATGTGATAGGGTCGGATTTCATGTTTGTTTTGCGCGCCGACAAGACAATAGCAATTTGCCACCTCCTGGGGCGTCCGCTAATGTGTTGCGATGTTGCCCCTTGAAAAATAACAGCACCAGAGGCAAGTGGACATGTGATTCGTAAAATAACTTTGTGGTTTATCCATGTGTCGACTGTGTGAAGCGAATTGTGCTATCTTTTAATGCTATTCTATAGTTATTTCTAGCGGAAAATTACGTTGTGTAATACAATGTATGTCAACAAAGTGTAGCAGTGGGCAGACGATGTCTTGTACATTTGTACCAGCTGCGGCTACCGCTCTCACAGGACGTCATGGGACGTGACGAAACAAGAAATATCTGCCGTAGAAGAAATATAAATCGGTAACTCATGACCTTAAATTCACGGTCGGTTTTTGACACAAAAGAAAATTAATTATTAATTTTGTAAGGTCGCGCGGCTTACTAGTACTAGCGGCTTAAAATGTACCGTCACTCCCGGCGCAAGGACTCGGTTCGCCAGCTGAGGACTTTCCACAACCATGATGATATCATAGTTAATAAAGGAATATATAATAGATCTATCATGTTGAAATGATAATTGTAATACATGGTTCTATTTAATAGCGGTAGTTTTGTTTCTTATTTTGAGGGGGGAAACTGTCAAAAATCGAGGGAACGCAAACTGAGATCGGCTCACTTCCGGGTGCATAACGCCAAAATTTCTCGACGATTATATAAAAATGACCACTCATTTGCCGCCTACGGTAGCGTGTACATGGTAGTGCGATCATATCGTGCCAAAGTCAGCGTCAAACGTCAGAAAATCCCCGTAAAAATATAGTTGCAAAACACATTTCCCGCGCACTCAGGGCCGGTCGCCCTGGCCGCGGCCGACCTGTGTGCAGCATGCTCATTATAATATGCAAGTAGCTACGCTCTGATTGGTTCACCTTAGATGACCTGCGCTGTGATTGGCTAGAACGAAGCCCGTTGCATGCTGGGGCGCCCTTCCCCGCGCGAAATGATCTCGAGAGAGCCACATTTACGCTGGTTTCTACCTTATTTCTACGACTAATTAGCAACATCCTAGTGACGAAATGCGTACTCAAAAGAATTTTCGGGAAAAAAAATATATGTACATGTGGATTTGTGGTGCCTTTGGCGTAATTTTGTTGGTCACATACAACGTAATGTAACACGGAAGTGCATGGAGTCGGAGTGGCGGCACGGCTTTCCGTCCCACTCTAAACAAAACTCCAAGGACATAACAAAACTCCCCAAAACTGGTCAATAATTAGCCATAAAAATGTTGGTGAGCACGTGTAAATATGCTGCCTTTTTTCGAGTGTTATAGGAATTTTCCACGATGTTTTTGCACATCCCTAACGTTACCTCACGCCCGCCGCCTATTATGTACGGCGGACCGGGGCATTTATAACTTCAGATCATCTAGGTTTGCTTATTCGGTGGTAAAATAAGTTAACAGAGAAAAACAGCAAAACAAAGTTGACAAACTATAGAAACGCTTGCCTGGGCAACAGTGACAAAAGAAAATGTCTATCTAATTGAATTGCGCCGGTGATCGTAAAACGTTTTAAACGTTACAATATAGTAAAATGCAGGCTAGATCAACGTTCCTTCCGCTGTTCCAGCGGTGTGTATCGGTAATTTCCCGCCCCGCATGAGGTAAATTAGTACTCCTCCCATTATTCTGTGATGTTACCGCGGCCTGCATATGAATGCAGAAGTCTAACGGAAAAGTAACGGAAAAGTAACGGAAAACTTACGCAAAAGTTACGGAAAACTTACGGAAAAGTAACGGAAAAGTAACGGAAAAAAAACGCGTTAGTAACGGCCGTTAGGGTAACTATAACGCGAACGGTACTGTATTTCCATCCTTCCAGATGACCGAGATGCCCGTACCCTGTTCCTGAAGAACCTGTCGTACGACTCCACGAAGGAGAGTGTGATGGAGGTGTTCACAGACGCTGTCGACGTGCGTATACCGGTCTTCAAGGACAGCGGACGGCCCAAGGGGTGAGTTAAGTGTTTAAATGAATAAACAAAGGAATGCTACGCAACTTATTAACTATAGTATTCATCATCTGGAAACCTGGTAAGAAATATCATACTCTTCTCAAAGGAACAATTTTCATGATCAGACTCAGAGAAAATTGACTGACTGACTGGATATTAAATAGCCTGGGTACCATCCCCAGTAGTATATTCGCAAACTCTATAACTGGGTCTGGACTTGCACACATATAAAACGATTGGTCATGACGTCACGTAATGAGCTAGCCCGAGCAGCGGGGCTTCCTTTGATTGGCTGAGCCTCAGAGGCGACGGCCAATGTCGCGCCTGCATTATTCAAGTGATGTTTGTTGTTTTGTAAACACAGATCTTCGTGCGAGTGTTCCTTTTCTCGGCGCGTTCTTTTTTTTACCGGTAGGACGCCCAAAACATCACGAACGAAATTATTCAATGCATCTTTTTGCTCATTTTTGAGCGACGATATTCCGTCTAAATCGTCCAAAACGGACGTGATTGCGAGGTCAACATCAACCTCCGTGAGCTGAGCGGCTTGTGCGTTAGCCATGTTGATGATTTATCGCGGAAAGACTGACTACGGCTATATCATGTGCGCTGTAGCGTTCGGTTCGCCGTCGGACATGTTGATGATAAGGCGTTCGGACGTTCGAACGGACGCTAACGTCGCCGTTCGGACATCCGAACAGCCCTTACCTAATATGTACACACCCAAAAAAGGGCTTAGACGAGTAGGACCAATCAGCGCGCTCGTTCAAAATCTGAACGAATATTTAGACTCCAGACGCTACATATGTGTGCAAGTCCAGACCCAGTTATAGAGTTTGCGAATATACTACTGGGGATGGTACCCAGGCTATAGCTAGATATTAAAGGCAACTGATGCAGTTTTTAGGGCGTGCAATTTTTCAAAGCCAATATTCTAGTCACTTATCTACATACTCAGTTGAACCAATGTTTATGGAGCAAAAATTCTGACGGAAAATGATTACTGGAAGGGCCCTGGGCTGATTTGTAGCGTACCACCAAGAAAGTAAAGGACTCATCTTGGGGCTTGTTTAAAAGCCTTTAGTATGAAATGCTGATTTAAATGTGCTAATATGAAGCAGTATGTGTCAGTATCACAAAGATTGCCTTATTCAGAATATTTCCAGTTTTGCTGCCCTGAAATCGCATTGGATGTCTTTAAAGGACAGGCTCTAAATATATTTCAACCAACCATTCCCTCCCCTGTAGGATTGCGTTTGTAGAGTTTGAGAGTGAAGCTAAGGTTGAAGAGGTGAAGTCGTCCATGGATGGAGTGGAGGTGGACGGCCGCAGGGTCGGGATGGACTACGTCGGCTCTAAGGCTCAGTTCACCGGGAAGTCTCCACAGGGCAAGAGCCCCGGAGGGGGGTTCAACGCACCAGGTAGGTTGATGGCACATGGGTTGAGGGGGAAGATTAACAGGCAGAATAATAAGTTAAAATGTCAGGCACTAGAAATGGGGTGAACTAGAAGGTCCCAGAATCCGTAGCCAAGGGAGCCAAGGGAGTAGGAATTAGAAGTTGACATGGAGGAATTATGAAACAGAACAATTGTGTGGTCTTTGACTTTCTAAGGTTTGTTAAAAGAGAATATAAAAAGAAGTTCCAACTAGAAACAATCTTCCAAAGTGTAGTGAAAGACAGAGTACAACGAAAATGTATTTATTTTAAACAATCATTATGGTAACCTTCAAGAGAAAATCTGATGACTTGCCAGATATTACTTAACATAACGTTATGACATTTCTTTTACTTCTCCAGCCTTCCACAGTATGACTGTTAAATGATGATGTGATGTGATATTTAATGATTATGATATTCTTTGTCCCTTCCAGCCACCCCCAGTAAGACCCTGGTAGTGAAGAACCTGTCCTACAACACCACCTCCGAGGGTCTGCAGGAGGCTTTTGAGGGGAGTACGGGAGCCCGGGTCATCATGAAGCCTGGCACTGACCGATCCAGGGGGTCAGTTTCAACAGTTCCCAGTGTCAATTTGATTTGATTTGAATTAAATCAACTAGTATAAAATGATACAGCCAGGACTGCCCAACTAGCCAGGGGCTACATGTATGTTTTCCATTCATGTATTTAGCTTTGTTCAATCTTAGTTTTAGTAGACCACACAAAAGTCCCTGTACTTTTGTTAAGTCAATAAAAATGTGTATTCTAAAGGACAAGTCCTGGTAACTGGACAACAGTTACAAGTGACTTACAACAGGCATTCAAATGTGTTAACAGGGGTAGCTTTTACAATACTCGTTCAGATGTGTTAAGAGAGTATGTTTGCTTGTGATCATGCAGTCAGGAACTGTTACTAACTATTGGACAATCATGTTGAATGCCAAAAAACAGTTACTCAAGCAACTGGATATGATTTTGAAAACGTCAGACGTTTCAGCTAGTATCCACTAGCTTTCGTCAGTGACTGAGAGACCAGAGGGGAAAGCAGGTTTATATACACAACCTGTTGATTGATATGCAAATAAAGTGAAGACAAATTTTTGGAAGTCGAAAAAGGAACAAAAGTCAGACAAGTCAAGACAAGATGATGCAAATTAGTCTGAAAGCTCCTGTTATACAGGACAGGAGCTTAAGTGTTGTCTGTCCTCGGGGCTGGGAGTGCCAAATCCCAAGTGCCGGAATCCCAAATCCCAAGTGCCGGAAAGATCGACCCGTCGGAAAGATCGACTCAGTCACTGACGAAAGCTAGTGGATACTAGCTGAAACGTCTGACGTTTTCAAAATCATATCCAGTTGCTTGAGTAACTGTTTTTTGGCATATCGTATTACCTGGATGTCTAACCTTCATCGACGAATCATGTTGAATGTTTCAGGTTCGGGTATGTCGACTTTGAGTCAGAAGAAGCGGCCAAAGAAGCAATGGACAACATGAACCAGTCTGAACTGGACGGCAGAACCATCAACGTGGAGTTCGGCATGGCCCGCGGCAGTGGGGGTGGCGGCGGCGGAGGGTTTAACTCACCTGCACAGGTCTGTATCTGTATCAATATAGCTGGTATAACGGCCCTTTGGTGTAACACACCAGTTTTGCAGGCACGCGGCGCGGCGCGGCGTACATCACACTGAACAACTTGTTACACCTAACCCTTGAACATCTTACTCCAAACATTGTTTAAAGCTATCTAATGATAATGCCCCTACTGTACTTGGTGACAGCGAGTTCCACTGTGCGATAGTTCTAGGAAAGAATGGATTTTTTAACACCTTAATCCTTGGTTGATAACTCTGGTACTTGAAGGCATGACAATTTCTTGTTCTTTTCTGGACTGGTATTAAGTACTTAGTAGTTGGTACGTCCAGCAGTTTATTAGTCATTTTGTACATCATGCATAGTCTGGACATCTTTCTTCTGTCTTCCAGTGAGGCCCACTGTAGGTTTCTTTTCATTTCCATGACACTAGCACCTCTTTCATAGTTGTTCCTACAGAATCTTGCAGCTTGGTTCTGTACTCTTTCCAGTAAATATTTGTCTTTATTTTTGTACATCAGGTCAGCAAGACCCTGATTGTGAAGAACCTTTCGTACGACACGGGAGAGGACGACCTGCAGCAGGCGTTCGAGGGCTGCACAAGCGCTCGCGTCATCACGGACAGGGAGTCGGGCAGGTCTAAAGGGTAAGGAGCTCCTCACTGATGATGATATGTAAAGGGAAAACTACATGTAAGCCTGACACTAGACACCATTTGCAAACGCACTTTATTGTAGCTTTCTGTTTTTGTTTGTTTAAAGGTTTTGCAAAAGATTTTCTAGAGCAATTACTTGGGGGCACAATATTAGTACATGGCTGAAAGAAACTTGAGAAATGCCTCAGCATTACCAGGTAATTAATGGAACTTCGAAGTATTGTTTTGGGTACCTGAGCTGTGAGTTTGTGTATCTGTCCATACAGAGTAGGTTGACAGCTCTAAGGTGGGTGAATATCGACAGGTATGACAAGACCTCAAAGACTAGTGACCAGCAGGAGTTAGAGGTTGACATGGGATAATCAAGGAAGCTGATTGTTGCATGCTTCCCGAAAGTCTAAGATCACAGATGTCTTGTTTTTCCAGGTTCGGCTATATTGACTTTGATTCTGAGGACGCTGCCCAGGAGGCTCTGAAGAGCATGGATGAGCAGGAGGTCGGAGGTCGGCGCATCAGACTGGACTTCGCCCTGCCGCGCGGGGAGGGTGGCGGTCGAGGTACGGAAATGGGATGAGAAATGTTAGCCGTGAGCTGGTGTAGATGTGTCAGGTGCCAGTGGCCTGGCTAGGACCCTATACTGGTGTCAGGTGCCCAGGGCCTGGCTGTGTCGGTATGTGGTGCCCGTGGTCGAAGTGTGGTACTGGTAGTGCGGAGTGGCACGGAACGGTTGGGCTGTCAGGTGCCCCTGACCTGACCTTGTGTGCTGTCAGGTGCCCATGACCTGACCTTGGTAAGGTGTGCTGTCAGGTGCCCTTGACCTGACCTTGGTAAGGTGT